GAGCTGGGGCTCACTTGCGATAAAGAGTGTAAAACATTTTTTCTTGCTTAAAATTACCATAAAAGGAAAATTTTTAATAAAACAGACGTGATCAGGAGAAAGTTTTTGTTGGTTCATATTTATTAATTTTATTATATATATATATTTAATATTAAAAAAAAAGTTTATTTCAATTTAAAAAAATTCCAAAAAATAAACAAATAATAGATTTTTAAAATAATAAAAATCTAGATTTTTTAAAACAAATAAATATTATTTATAAGTTTTTAAACTATTTTTAAATAAAATAAAATAATAAAAGTTAAATAATTTATTTAATTATAAGTATTAATAATAGATTTATTTTAATAATTTAAATCTTAAAATTATTAAATAATTTTTTAATTGAAAAATTTTTTTTTAAAAAATAAATTGTTTATATTTTTGAATAAATAAATTACATTAAGTCAAATAAAATAATATGTATTTTTGTAATTGTATAAATAATAGATGAAATTTATAATACAGTATATTGAATAATTTACATATTGTCAAAAATAATTTATTTTTTAATTATTATTATTATTATTAATTTTTTATAAATAAAAATATAAAACATTTAAATTTAAATTTGAATAAAAATAAAATCTTATATTATAAAATTAAATTACAATGCAGTTAATATTATTCAGAATTAATAAATTTAAAATAGTAATTTGATTTGAATTTGACTTTTTTAATTGTAACTTGAAATTTATTTTATATCAAAATTTTTATATGTTTTATATTAAAATAGAAAAAATCATGGAACCAATTCCTTCGTTAAAGTGAATTTCACTTTATTAAATTTATTAAATTTTCCTGGATCTATGATCGACAGCTGATATAAAATACGTAGCCTCTTTTTGTTTTGATATATAAAATCAGAATTCAAAAATGGATTTTTTCGTCAGTGTTATTCAAACTCTTTCACCGAACTCTTAGCGTTCGTTCCATCGATTTTTTCGCGAGATTTTGAACATGCTGAACTTCACGGATTGGGAACCAGACCGATTTCGAATATTACATGAACAAATTGAAAATGTTTCATACTCCGCGTCCGAGACAAGTTTAAAAGAGATAGGCTATAAACTGCAAGAAAATAAATCGTGGTTTATAAATTTGCTGGAGCTTCCGCCTCAACAGCAGGCGCATCGAGATCAACTGAAGAATAAAGGTCAGGTTTTTCTTTTGTTTTTTGTTGTTACACTCTATGAGAATAAGGTTGACGCAAATTCGATTTTGCGAAGAAATGACGTATCACATTATAAGAAAACTTTCGAAACTTTTTTGCGATAAAAACATTTATTAATTAAGTTTTTTTCATGAATAAATTAGGCATCGCAACTATAAATCGAACAGAATACAAATTTTCGGAGTCTTTCGTTGTCGAGACCAATTCATTATCAGATTTCCTCAAGATCGACGAATTTTTCGCGGCATGCCTACTGCATCATGGATCAAAGCAATGTTCTAAATTTAACAGGTCCGCACCTGTAACAGCAGTTTTACTTTTACTTAGAGAACAAGCATATTTATTAGTGTGCTTGTCGAGTCTTATAGGAAATGCTTACAACGAAGACGTAAACATTCCAGCTAGAGAGCTGTTCAAAAATTATGTGGACAGTTTGTTCAGTGCAATATCGAAGACAACCAAAGGTAGCTCATTTGCACGAAAGCTTTTGTTAACTATTCAAAAACTTAAAGCCGAAGCAATTGAACTTGATGCTCGGCTGCAAAAACTTATTAGTCAAGGTCAAACCGTGATTTCCCGACAAGACTTGCAACTTCTCAATGCCGGATATACTCTGGTTAATTTTAACACCGAATCAATTAAAGATAGAGTTAAACAATCGTCTATACACCAAAGATATCTTGCACATAATTTGTGGTTGATTTCTTACAATTACCTTTTGAACGTGGAAGACATAAAAGAACTGACAAAATTTTTGCGAAATTCTGATACGGAAGATATTGTTTTTCCGTACTTGATAGCTTCTTTGCTTTCAACTATTGATACTTCATCAGAACATTTATCGAATGATCTACCAGCCAAACAAAAGCACGATGGGTTGGTTCGGAATAAGGATTTTATCAACGATTTTACAAACTCTATTAATAAAGACCAATGGAAAGTTGAAGCTGCAAGAGCAACAATTATGATTCAATGGTGTTTATTTGTACTAGAAGCCTTACGAAATTCTTCAACTCTGGAGTCGCAGTTAATCATCAAGGAAGAACACTTGGGAGAAATGTTTCAACGAGCTGTCGTTAAAGATGCATTTCAATTTATAACTCACTATTTACTTTCGTTTCAAAAAACGGAAATGGAGTTCATATACGCTGAAATTGCACCAAGTATATCAACTATTTGGGAAACAAACAGCACAGGAAATAGTTTATACAATGTTGCGTTTTCACCCCCGGGAATGGTGCCTAAAGTAGACGGTCATATACAAGAAGATTTCGGTTATTATCTTCGTAAGCAACTCGAGTTTTTTGTCATATCAATAGTGACTAAGATGTGGAGTAATTTGCAAAGGATTAGGAGGCAGGAGGAAGACGCCATTCAGTCTGCAGCGGCCGAAACTTTGATCCCATCAATCACCAGAAAATCCATCGTCGTACGTCATGACGTTGAGGCTTTCTTCGTTCTTATAGCAAATATTTATAGAAATCATCCGGATGAAGGTTTAAGATTCTGGATAGACTTGAAGCAGATAATCAACTGGGGAGCAAGTTTCCAGGAAAAGGGAATGATGCGAGCATATTTGGAAATGCTTTGTTCGCTGTCTACAGGTGTTCATTCTAGTTCCCGCGCCGATGATTTTCTTTTACGCGGTTCGGAAGAGATGGGTGAATGGTGCTCGTGGTCTACACTGTTTAGGGCATTGAACGAGTATAACGTAGGAATGAACCAAGATATTAAACAAATATTGGAAGATGAGATTAAGCTTTTGATTTCTTTTCTAAGAATTTTTCAGCAAGTAGTTCGATATTCGAGTAATGCAAGGATTAGATTTTTCCAAGCCAACATAATAAAAATTCTCTTTCGCCTGGTGACCCATCACGTGCCTACCGAACTAAAGGCCGAGCTATATAATTCGATCACAGCATTTTGCGTTCCAGAAACCGAGGGATTCCTCGATATCGTTTTACAAATATGGTATTTTCTTGAAGAGGAACAAATAGTTCACACTGTTCCCAAGGATCTTAAATTCGGAGCAACCACCTATTGGGGAACTTCGAGCATACAAGCGCAGGATATTTGGGCTATCAAAAAGGAGCTCGAAGAGGTGGAATCACCAAAAAAGCTATTCTTCCAAACGTTGTCTTTTGTTCGTTTTATCAGTTCCTTAATCTATGTTCCTGATATTTTTGTCTCCCTTCGGTGTGGATTTCCAGTTCGTTCTCCAACTATGATCGAACAAATTGGTACTGGCTATCGACAACCCGGAATCACACCCTACATCAATTTTATAATTGACGATATTTTTATCAAAGCGCCAAGTCGTGATTACATTTTCCCTTCACAAAAATGGAATATCATGGCAGCTTCCTTAGACATAATAGAGAAATGCCTAATCTCGTTTGACTTAACAGGACCATTGTTTCAGAATGACCAGACTTCTTTCACGAAGCCGGAGCCCAGGAAGAATATGAGTAAAGAAGAAGTTAACGTTTTTAACAAAGAATGGGTTCAATATTTGAGGAATCATCCGGGATATGATATAATGAAGAGGCTGTTGAGCAACACTCGATTAGTAGACGTAATATTTGAAATATTTTCTCAGGGAATTGATGCACTAGGAGAAGAGGCCAAAGCACCGTTCATTTTAGAATCAGTTTTACATTGTTTGAGAATATTATTGATTGCGTTAGAAAAGCAGGAAAGATTCACAAAAAACTTGATACCATTGTTGGGCGAGAATTCTCCGGGGTACCTTGAAAATGCATTCTTGTCTAAGAAAGAGGTTATCGTGCAAATAGCATTGTTGCTTCATTACGGAAACGCCGACGTCTGTCTTTACGTCGTTAAGGTTCTGTCTAATCTCGCTAGATCATCTGTATTTAATTCAAAGGACAGATATGGTATAGAGAAGGTAAATAGGTTGGTTGGGATATTAGATTCCAGTGCGGATTCAGAAGCTATAATTGGTGGTTTTGTGATGCGATTGGAGTTAAACGGGGAAGAAGATGTTTGGGATAATAAATATAAATTGGAGGACTTTGAACTAACGCAAGTTGGATTCAAGTCCTGGTCTATACCTGGTGAAGATGAATTCAGTGCAGGACCATTAACAGCTGAGCCGGCGATCACCTTTGGAACCGTTAGGTGCGCGATATTAGACTTAATATTAGAAAATATGTTACCTGGTAAAGCATCTCCCACGATATCACATTTCCTCCTCGGTTTCGATCTTCGAGGTTCGTTGCAAACCCCGACTATCAAATACATTAATCAGGATGACCTAAGGGAATCGTGTTTACACAAAATAATGGAAATTCTGGGACAGCCTATTAATGATGAATCCGATACCTCCGAAGAAATTAAACATAATTCTTTGTTATCTAACTACCCATCATTAGCGGCTTGCTGTTACCAAATTTTGTATAGACTCTGTGCAGATTTTATTACTTCTGATGTAACGATGCTATTTCTTCGAAGTCAGGGATTCATTTATAAACAATTTAGAATGATGCCTTTGCAAATTGTTTTACCGGAAAAGATGCCTGAATGGGGCGAGTTATGTAAAATGACACGTTATGATAATCAAGTAATGGAATTAGATTTGGTTACTGTCTGTGCAAATCTTGATGAAAGAACATATTTGATGAAGATGATTGCATTAGAGTTACGTAAATGTCAGACCCGTTCTGGGATTGAACGGTTGCTAGCTATGTTACTTGGAGTCAATGTAATTAAGTCGCAAGCTGAAGACGCGATGGACGAGGATATTTCAACCACGACAATTAAAATTCTTGATATCTTAAACATGTTGGAGTTTGATTGGGATGATTTGTGGCAGATAAAAGAACCGCAGAGGAATTACTTTGACAAAGTAAACTTTAAGTCACTGCTAACATTCAATGAACGAGGATTTGCTAGTTATAGATTGAATGACGTGTTTTCTGAGATGAACCAGACATACATTTTTCTACGAAAACAAGCACAGATGGGATTTTCAGTTAACGAAGCTAGCTTACGCAAAGAAATGAAACACATATTGCGATATTGCTATTTTTATAATCGTGATCAAGAATATATATACTCCAGACGGGAATGTTTTAAAGCGTGGAGGGAAGTGATTGAAGTAACCATTGTTAATCATTATAGTCGTTTACGCTTGGAAGTTCGCGAAGCTACATTCCATGATATCCTGTCAGTTTTGTTGCCAACCCTGCAACATGAGGCTAGGGCAATTGCAGAAATTATTAGTAAAGTCATATTTGCTGCGATTACGGTTTTACGATTAGATCGGAAACGTTTATCAGTTTTGCAAACAGTAAACACCGCAAACCTCGCATATTTGAGAGTTCCTTCCGAAAGACTTTTTTCTATATTACGGTTAATTTTGGAATGTCTTGTCGTCCAAGATTTTTCGCCGGACGTCCGAAACAATTTATATGCAACAATTTATAATTATTTACATTATATTGAACACGAACCTGACAGGTCGACAGGACCACTACCGCTGAATGAATTGTCGCGATCACTTTCCAAAAGTGCCATGACTCGGTCTGTATTTTCCACGCGCATACCGGAAACGACACCGAGAAATTTGCTATCCAATTCTTCAATAACTCAAGCTCGTAGCGGTGGCACTCGATCTATCCTGGACGCTGGGAATCTTGCGGTATTTAGAAGTGTTGGCGATAGACTATTGGATATAATTCGAATAGATGCTTCTGAGGGGCCTGTCGCTGGGAAATTATGTGCTTTAAATGTGCTAACAGCTATTTGTAGTTTGGACAAGCGCGAGAAAGGTCTTTTCGTAATCGATTATATGATTAGATCGGGTTTTCTCGGGAATGTCGTTAAAAGTTTAAAAAGTCAAAATGAACTATTGTTGCAATCCATAAATCCCCGACATGGTAAATACGCTTTGCTGTTTTAAAATTGGTACACACTATCTTCTAACCGATGAAACATATATATCCCTTTAGAAACGGCTGCAATACAAGCAAAATATGTATTCGAAGCTAGAATGGGACTTTTAATATGCCTGGCTCAACGTCGTGACTGTGCTATCAAACTTTTAGATATAGGGATCATAGATTATTTAGACGAATTAGCGTTTCTAGACGAACGACCAAATTACAGCAATCCGGAAACAGGTAATGCCAGATACCTCAATGACGATAATATATACTAGAATATATATTTATGTTATACCTACTATTTGTAAATTACATCTGTTATTAATTATAATCTTTCTAACTAGAGTCTTTTGGAAAACCCGCGTATAAATCATATCATGATTTCTTGATGTTGGTGGTCCGCCTAATTGTCTGCATTCTCACAAGCGTAGGACACGATAGCGCGGCAGTCTTGATCAAGGTGCAATTCATTTTAACATTAAACCTTTTCTTTATCAGAGGTCTAATTTTTTTTCTTTTTTGATTTATTAGGTCTCCAAATTCATTAGTGGACACCAAGGCTTGGTCGCCGATATTTTTACAGATGTTCCTCCTATAGATGTGTTATATTCTCAAAATTTCGAAAAGCGTTCGAACTTTATTATGTGTATAGAAGTTTTAAGCGAAGTGACGCGTCTATTTTATATATTAGGCGACAAGATAAAGGCCATTGATTCAGCTGTATGTTTTTCTAAAAATTTTTCTCTACACTTTACGAATTTATGTATTAACGGGAAATCTGATGATTTTCAACAGCGTATTGAAACTCACCAATGCACTTATCAAACGTTCTTAAAAGAGCTAATGACGCGATGTTTTACAGTCAGAAAAAAATTATCGAATCTGGCAGAGATCGGTGATTTAACCATTCAACGTAATTGTTTAATTCACTTAATTGAAAATGATATAACCATAGAAAAAAATTAATATATATTTCATATTTCATAGATGTCAAAGAGCAAATCGAAAGTATTAACCGAAACCTTCTAGGGTGGTGTCAGATAATGACATCAAATTACAAGGATGGACAATGTAAACATTAATGAATCTGACTTAATAATTATATGATGATTGTTTCGCCGAATTAATATCATCACTTCTACTACTGTAACAGCGTTCACACCAATATTCACGCCATCCCTCGATGCTGCCAAACGACCTGACGACGATTACCATGGCGATCTTAGTGAGCATTGGATTTATTATCTATCTCGCTAAACATATTAATTCTCATAATTTTACTTATAACTCTTGCTTTTAAAAAAGGGCAACCGGAACTTTCGGTCCTTGTTAATTATCTTCGAATTTCCATCGACTTTCTTGAACAGCACTTGCAAAACCTTGGAAGTCTATCAGCCAAAATAGAAAAAGGAGAGGAAGCGCTAGATAATACAGAAGAGGTATATTTCATGCAACCTAAATTTAAATGACGTGAAGATAACGATTCATCTCTCCCAATTGCTTAAAAACCCTAGGTTCTGGCGTCTCTGTATGATGACCTTGCATCCGATCTGGATGATTCTCAGCGAAGGTCACTAGCCATGCGAACCTTACAAGAAAAGCATTATAAGATATCGAAAATCGTGTCACAACACCTATGTAAGATTTATCGAAATTTTTGTAATACCATTTGCCGATTTTCTGTTCGCAGTTACTGATGACTTATTTTGGTTTGAACCGTGATAGATGATGTTGAGATATCCCTATTATTGTTGTGGCGTCACCTTGATTTTATGATTCCCAGCAGGCAAAGATTATCGTTTGATGCAAGCACAGTACTATCATCCTCAGTCTCAGCCACAGGAGACACGAATAAGGAACTTTTACGAAAAAATGCAAAGCTTGTTCTTTCTGATATGTTAATAAAACTGGAATCCTTAGATCAACAACCGGTAATAATTACATTTTATGTTTCTTGTTCCAATGAATTGCTTTTAATGTGACATCTGTCAAATTTCTTTACAGACCACGAAGGAAATTGTTGACCGGTTTAAGGCGCGTAATGATTATATTCAAATGTTGGTGCGAAAATTGAAATCTCTTCTTACAACTTGAATAAACAGTTTAGTGTAAAAGCTTGATTTATTATTAAAAAAAATGCATTTAGCATGAAAACGCCGTAAACCATCTACGGCGCTGAGTAATTCAAGATTGATAAAAACTATGATAATTGATTAGAACAAGTAAAATAGACATATACATACATGCATATTTATATATACGTATATAATTATAAAACATTAAATTTAATAGCATTGATTTCAAATTTATTGATTCGAGTTTTAGAATCCATTGTTGTCAATAGTTATATAAAAAAATATTTTTTATAAACTTGGTTAGTTTTAGATAATGAAATTACCGTATTTAAATTAAAACCTTGATGATAATGACGTATGGATAAAACAGATTAATATCAGAACTTAAAAAATCCAATGGATCGCAATGCATTAAGTTAGAAAGTAGCAAAATATACAAGATCAAAAAAATAATAGAAATTATTACTTATTCTATTAGGAACTTTTGTAAATTGTTCAAATTATTACCAATAAAATTATCTGACTATTTTTTTTAAAGGTGAATTAATTTAATTTTAGTATGCTATTTCATACACAGTAATTCACTTATTTGCTATATAAAATACAAAAATTTTATATATAAATTTAATTTTTGAACTTCAAGTTAATTAAACATTTTTAACTACAAATATTTTTAATATACTGTAGTTTACAGTATCTTATTTTTCCTTCAATCTGTATTTTTCCAAGTTATCAAAAACTATAAAATAAATACTTGAGAAATCCATAACAAGAAAATTCTTTTTAGAAAAATATAATTTAATATTTTAATTTAATATATAAAATACTTAAAAAAACTAGATTAATATATTTTAAAAAAATTAAAAAAATATAAGATTAACAAATAAATAGTGAAAAAAACTTTCTTAAATTTTACTGCTAATCAATAGAAACTATTCTTTTATAGAAATAATTTTTAGAAATTTCAAAATAATAATAATAATATATCTCTAAATTCGAAGACTATAAACTCTATCAATTTAATAATGGAAAATTTATTAAGAATACAATGAAACTTAATGTATTAATTGTTTCTAAATTTAATAAACGCATAGACTATATATGCCTAACATCTGTTTTCTTAAGATTGTTATTGGTTCTCTAGGTCAAAACAAATTATAGAGCTTTATTTCATAATATCATTTTTTTTTTCACAACAAGAAATTAAGCCTGATAATTGATAATGAATTGATTAATTGCATTTGCAAATCGAGGTTTGTAACACAGAGTTATTTATGCAGGAAATAATATACTGTCGCTTTAATATTTCTTTAGAAATGTTCTTAATTCTATTCCGTTCTCATTTCCAGTCTAATCGTTACGTCTACTTCCCTACAAGTCGTTCATTAATAATAATTTTACTTACTCACTTGTGACGATTTGGAGGCTGCGTCTCTAATAATTAAAGCTTGCCAAAAGAAAAAATACAAACATGGCGGCTAACTTTGGATTAATTGCAGGGAATCCTTTTTATCTTTCTACTTTGGGTTTAGCTATAGTACGTATTCCAAGTTTCATAAATTTTTAGAGACTTTGTCGTACATATATGCGTTACGCTTATTACAGATTTGGTTGAACTAGATTGGATGGATCATTACGTTGGCCGGTGCTGCTGCTGCTCAAAAAAAAGGTGTTATTTGGTTCTATATATTTTATGAATTAGTCCTTATCCTTGGAATTGCTGTTTCCATAGCTACCAATTCCATAAGATATTATAGGCTTGCTGTATCCTTTAAATCTGTTTAAGTTAACCGCGCATTATCGAAACTTTCGAACTCCGACACTATACAAGACCTAATTTATTCTGTAATTAATGAGTTTGTACAATATCCTGAACTCTAGGATGCGTATATAGTTCATAGGTTTTTTGAGTGCTAGCATATCGTGGATTAGCAATTATATTAATGATTTCCTTGCTAGTAGAAATCCTCCTACTGAGGACTTAGTAATTGCATCTGGTGAAATTTTTCTTTCTATTGTAACGGTATTATTTAATTCCCTTTACTCAAAATCAAGGCCCTATTATTTTTTATCATGTAATTCAAACATTTCTGATTTTTCAGTTTGTGTGGATAATCACTCTCGGAGCTGAAGAAGGTTCCCTTGTTGCAAATTCCGTAAACTCAATGGCGCTTAGTAAGTCCAGAGATATACACCCAAATAGTCCAAATAATCCTTTCCCTGCTGGTGTTTCAATGAACCTAGGTGGTGCAATATCTCTGGGACCTGTGCCAGTAGTATCTCCAAATGCAGATTATGCTTATAAGGCAAAGGCCTTATATGATTGTAAGTTTCTGTGTACACATCAGTAGTCGGATAATAATTATTGATTTTTTTATTGATCATATATTTTTGCAACTGTTTATATTTTTCATAGATCAAGCAAATCCAGATGATCAAAATGAAATTTCGTTTACCAAAGGAGAAATTCTCGATATTGTAGATAATAAGGGAAAGTGGTGGCAAGCGAAAAAGGTCGATGGCACAATTGGCATAGCACCAAGCAATTATGTAAGTTATCTTGAATCTATTTATATTATAATTTATGATTGAAACGACAATTAACGATTTTTTTTCTTAGTTGGAACTTATCTGATATGCTTGAAATCAGAAGCTTTTTTTTTTTCCGGCATTATTTTTATGATACAAGATTCGTATTATATACGGCAGTATTAACACTGTTAATGAACTGCATTCGTTTACATACCACAACGATTTTTTGCAATATTTTTGGATCTTGTATGTTAAAATTTATCCCAATCACATTGATTCAATAAATAATTTATTATATTTTGCAATTTCAATAGTTTTTTATGCATTTTATTGTATTATTAAATAAGCATTGCATGGTTTTGGTTTTATTGTATAACGAAATTATTATATTTATATAATAAGAGATTCTGCTGTAGGATTATAGTTTAAGACAATATTTAAATTAATATTTTATTCTATATTCTATTACATAATAGGACAAATAAATATATTAATCTCTTATTAAAGCTTCTTAACAATTCTAACTTCAATACAGGTCTTATTTAAAATTTAGGCCATGATCTTATTGATGTTTTTACTAATATAAAATCTGGGTTATATAGTTAATTTGTTTTATACGCATATACTTCAAAAGATAATTTTAATTTACCGTAAACCGGTAATTATAAGCACTCATCTCAATCTTGTATAAAATAAATATAAGCACTACTAATATTAATATTATATTAATCAAATTGATTAACTTTGTCCAATCTAATTTAACTTTGCCCCATAAATTAATTACGCGAGTTAATTTTGATCAACCAATCTTAATTCCGGTCACATTTGGATTAACTCTAACCAACTTATATTAAAAATCAGGTGATTTTAAATTTTAAGCTGGCTGCATATAAAAACTTTCAATAACAAGCACTATATGTATTTTATTATTAAATTATTCTAAAAAGTGAAGCTTATATTTGGCAATTTATAATAAACTAAAAATATATTGTTATATAATACTGTATATACACTATATGGACAAAAGTATCACATATCTTAAATTTAATATTATATAAACATAGCTATAATAACTTTATCTAAAATTTTAATATATTATTGTTTATATTTCAAAAAAAATATAGGCATAATTTTCATGTTTTTTCAATAGGTAAATATTAAATTAAATATAAATACATCTATTATTTTAATATTTTTAATTTTAAAAACATATTATTTAATTGAAAATTGATATAATAAAATTATTATTATTATTATTTTAGCCTCTAATCAGATTGCAAATGAAAATGTTTATTATTCCAATTTTTGGAAAACAGTAATACAATATACATGATACTATACTAAAGCTAAACTAGCACAATTTTGCAGAACACCCATCAATGAATTTAGATTTGTATGTGAGCCTTGAATCCTTAATATCAAGACCACCATCTCATTACAAGGGAGTAGCTTCATTAAGCTATTACTGAGTGATACTAACTATCTTAGACTTTCTAAATCTAAACTCTCTAAATGTAATCATAGGGAATGATAATATTGCTCCTTTTCAAGACAAGATATCATAGTCTATGTTTTGAAAGATCAACACCAGCCTACATTCAGACTGTTACCCCCAAACAAACCTGTGATCCTAAAAGATAAAAATTTTTATTTTACCACCACCTGCAGTTAGGCAAACCATTTAATTTCCACTATTCTATTGCTGACCAAGAACATTCAAAATACTTATAACAAGTCTTATATCCATAAGAAATTATTGCTTGAAACAAGACTTATACCTTAGGGAATTATTGCTTGATGCCTTCTCGTGATAATCAACAGTAGAGGAAGCTTATTACTGGATTGGAATGAGACTTCTTTTGATTCTAAAGAGAAAAGAAACCAGTTCAAGAGGGAAGAAGGAAATCACCAAATCACTTCTATTCAAGAGAATACCATAACACCTTGCTCTTTTGCTTTCTCCAATTACATCATCGTTATTATGTTGTATAACAGGAAACACATGAGGAGTATGTGTCTTATTTACTTTTTGGCTGTATGTTGATCAGCCAATCCAAAATCTTGACCAATCACCAATTGGAGATTCAGTGTAATGAAAAATTTAGGGTCAAACTGAGGTAGACAAAATTCTCCAAAAAATTTTTGATACACTTAAGAGAGCTGCTGCAGACATTTGATTGGTGGAGAGGATCACATGTTTATATTTACAGACCAGAATACTAGCTTATCTACCTGCCTTTGATAAAAAGGGGTTCACTTATGATGAATCCAAGATTCTTATGGAGCTTGGGAAATGTATTCACTAATGGACTTTTCTAAAATTCCAGATCTTGAGAAAGGATAGAGAATGACATTTTTTTGACAGGTTTCTTCTTTTCAGTAAGGTGTTCTTGCTATAAACCGAATGGGTAAGTTTTGGATATACTGTTACTGAAATATCCAAGGAGTTTTGAAGAGAAAAAGGTAGACAAGTGGAGAAGGCTGTTGTCTTCAGGAATATATGTTATTAAAGAAAGTGTTTAAACTTTATTATTGAAAAATAAAAATCTTTCAAGAATGTCTGTTTTTTAGATTGGCAAAAGGATCAATGGAAAGAGTTTTTCATTAATATAATAAAATTATAAGTTTTTATAAAAATAAGAAATCTTTATTAAAATTTATAAAACTTCTTAAAATTTATAAAACAATTATTTTTTATACAATTAAAAATTATTTTGATAGAGACCTGTGGGTCTATAGTGTAGTGGTTAATACTTCACAGGTCAGATCACAAGATACCAGTTCAACCCCAGGTGAAGGTAGTTAAATCAAATTAAAAATGATATCTGGGGCCATAACCTATAAGAGCCCTGTTTCCTATAAGAAGTCATTTGCATACTGATCCAGTGGAATGATAGAATTGTGATCTCCAAGAAAAGGTGTGAGGCATAATGATCATCTGGAAGTGGTATGATGATCATCAGACAAGTTACCAAAAACCAATCACACATTTGAAAGTACAGACTGGGCTGTGTTCCATCTTAACTAATCCAGTTAAGTCTTTTTCCACTGTTAATTACTGAAAATAAAGAGCTTTGAAGAGACCACCAATCTGGTGCCATTATGGAGTGACATGGTTAGCCATGCGGTGAGACAAAATACATAAGAGTTGCATTCTGTTTGGTCAAATGACTCCTAGATTTGGTAACTTATGCCAATCGGTCCGAATCTGGAGTGTCTACTAGGAGGTTAAGAATCGATCTGTAAGTGGTATCTTACAAATCCACATTTATGTAGATCCTTAAGGAGTCACGCCCCACTTGGCCAAAATGGCCCCTAGATTTGGTAGTGTCCAACCAGTAGTCAAAACCAGAGCATTCACTAGAGAGTATATACTTGCGTCGAAGGTTCCCCTCTGCTCATATGATGGATTGAGAGAGGTGTGATGTGAAGGGTAATCTATATAAGTTAACTAACAGTATAAGCCTCTCATAAGCATATAAGCCCTATAGATTAGATAGTTTAAAACTAGTGATAGGATTTCTATCTCCTATAGCCCCTTGATATTACAAAAAAAAGTCATTAAGTGACAGGTTTCTAGGTATTGGATAAAAAAAAAGTTAATAGACTAGCATTTAGTTATAGTCAATGTATTACAAAGGATGTTTTATATAATGTAAATATTGAATATCAATAAAAGATTTGCATCTAATGCTGTTTAACTTTAAAAAAAAAAAAATTATTTTGATAGAAAAAAAAAACTCTTTTCTGATCACATCCGTTTTGTTAAAAATTTTTCTTTTATGGTAATTTTAAGCAAGAAAAAATGTTTTACTCTATTTATCGCAAGTGAGCCTTAGCTCAGGAACTCAAGAATCCTCAAGACAACTGGTGTAGTAGGATAGAATCTCTGGTCAAAGTCTATTCAAGTTTGGAAGTCTTGCTTATCCTTCGGTTGCATAAGGAAAGGCCTATGGCAGTTCTCTTTTCTTCAGTTCTCTTGCATCCCTTCTTATCTTTATTCTATCATAAAAATCATCCATATTATAACCATCATATTTGCTAAACCAAATACTTTCCAAAACATATACTCAAACAGAGTTAATGGGTCTATTGTTTGTTTCAAGTCAATCCTTATACACAATATTCTCATAGCAATATTTGCTGCGTCACTTTCATTCTTCAAAAATTTCTCACTCAAAAAACCAAAATCAGTTTACACCTCCAGATGATCAGCCTCTTCAATTATCCAATCAGATTTCGTTTAATAATCAAAACAAAAACTAAACAAGTTCAAACCAGTTTTGTACTATAACAACAATCATAACAACAACAACAAATAACTTACTACCAACAACCATAACAACAAACAATATCATGTGTATTCTATTATCTATAGCATGTGGGGAGCTGGAGAGTTGGGACCACAAGCCTACCAAGGAGTTTTTTTGTTCAATGCATGGATTATATAGTATATTTGATTTAGTTCTAGTTATAGTTAATTTTATTTTTCTTTTCAATTTTTTATATTTAAAAAATTAAAAGAATTTACAAAATTTCCTGGGATGATAGACATAACCACTACTCAGCCTTATCTAGCATATTAATATTGATTTTGAATTTTTTTATGATATTAGTTAGATATTGATAAGTAGGCA